AATCTCATTCACTGTTTAGCGAAAGCAAAAGTTTTTCTCGAGAAAGGCAACGAAGCTTACAAACAAGAAAAGGATTACACATGCGCAGTCCATTTTTACACGCAAGGCATTCACGTGGAGTGCAAAGATACCCGACTTATCGCCATACTATACAGCAACAGGGCAGCAGCTCATTTCCATCTGGGTAAGAATGTTTTTCCTAAATCATTTTTGCTTTCATTTGGGATATTATGACTGTGTCTCATGGCCACTTTGTCTCCATGACCACATTAAAGTATACAGTTTGGTCACAAGGATCACTTTACTAGTTTTTACTGCATTCTTACAAATGGCTGTTTTCTGAACTGAGCAATCAATTTTGTATCATTTCAATTTCCAAGCTCACTCATTGAATCTTATGAATTTGGGTCCTTGTTTTAGAATAGTAATTATATATAGGAACTAAAATGCTGTCGGAATCCTCCCATATGTAAGAGAGATGGCAGGTCAAGGCCAACAGCTGGAAAATCATGGCTTCTTCTTTAATCAATAAGAGGAAAAAGATAGATTGATTAGAAATATTTCAGCCCAAAAGCTCCATAGAGGAGAGTTTGAACAAAAATCATTATTCTGGCAGTTCAAAAATTTCGTGCCAGCTTTTAAAGAGAACAACATCATTGCAAGCTCTACCCTTTGTAGATTAATATAGGATGGGTAGAGGCGTTGGAAATTGAATATCATTTATACGGGCTGCTTTGTGAGCTAACGGTCGACTCTCTCTTTGTAATATTTTTTACATTAAACAACGAATTGAATTTCAATTTTTTTCTAAGGAAATTACCGAGAAACACTGGCAGATGCAAAGCTTGCTCTTCTACTGGAGCCAACACTCATAAAAGCTATAGAACGGGGTAAGTTTTTTTTCGTAGCTAGTGGCGAGTTGTGTTACTTTAGCTCATGGCATGGTATACTCTCTGTCTAAATGGGCGCATATCCCAGACATCCCCAGATCTTGCTGGAGATTAGAAAGGATAAGAATTTTAGAAAAAAAGTTATCTCCGAGAAGCGTGCCGCGTGCCGGTACCTGCATGAAATCTGTTGGTTAAATCCATGGAATACTACACGAGCGAATCAAATCAAGGACTCAAAAAGCTTTCTCCCAATAAGCATTTTCTCTAGCACTGGAAAAAGCCAGGCTCTATGGTCGGGTCTTTCCCTGTGTTGATGCAGCATTTCTCAGTTAGTCTCCGTATTCGTCTTTCCGGAATTCAACGGGAGACTGGGGCGGAACTTAACTCGCGAAGCACCCTGGGGCTGTTTTTG